TTGGCAAATTAGCTACAAAGGATTATTTCCTGTAGTATAAATTATAAATTTTCTATTAGATATTAAATAAAAAAATAAAAAATTAATAAATTTGTTAGTTTTAATTTTTATATTGCTATTATTTTTAAAAAGTATACAACTTTTTATTTTATATTAATTTTATATTTATTGTATTAAAAATTTAAAAATTTATAATATTGCTATTATACAAATTTTATTAAATAAATTTTTATAAAAAATTATTTAAAAAACCAAACTTTTGTTTAAGTTTTAATAAATTATATTTAATAAATAATTTTTTAATTAATTACCTATAGTCTAACCTCATTATAGTCATCTTAATATAGTTATAACCTTATTATAATCACATCATTTTTTTTGGTTTAGCTATTATAAAATATATAAAATTTGATTTTTATTTAATCACAACTTTTTATAATTACTAAAATTTTGTTTCTCTACCTGGTAATTATAATAAGATCAGACTGTATATAATTGTATTTTAACTAATATTATGTAAATATTTAATTATATTTATTAGATAGAAAAATTTATTTATTACAGTATATAATATTTATTGTCTGTAACTATATATATTATAACTTATTTTAAGTCATATGACTTTATATTTAAACTTCAATTTAAAATTTATTAACAGATAATAACTACAAGAATTTCAAAATTCCAAGTTAATACAATAGATATTACATATTTTAAAACTAATTATGCATTGTATAATTAGCAAAATACATATCATTTTGAGTTGTATATATGTATATACACTTGTGAACTTGGTGCCTAAAATGAATTAGCAAAGTTATCTTATACAAAATATTACAACTATCATTAGTAGATTCAGAATTTTGAATTACAAATTATAATTGGCAAAGTAAAGTAGAATAGACACATGACAATAGTATATACAATAGCCAGTTTTTTTATAATACACACCTACTCTAATATAATTGCAAATTTACAAGCTTTAAAAATATTAAATGCAAACATATTGTTAATCATATATACTATCAAATTTTACATATCTATTCTAATAAGCTCAGAATTGCTTAAGTTGCAATCATATAAGTTAATTAGTATAGAATAACAATTATGTATCAAATAACAATTACAATAAACTTTTAATAATCTCACCTAATAACATACATAAAACACAAGTTAGCTATCTTACTTCAGGAATTTCATACTATTATGCCCAGTTTTACTATAGCAACAACAAGTATATAGCTAATGATATACCTTTTTTGGAGTCTTTTTTGAAATCTTTTCTGTAACTTTTTCTATAGCAGTTTTGTATTGCTTAGTTTTAGATCTATTTTTATACTTGGTAATTGAAGGATTTGCAATTGCAGAAATATTTTTCTTATTACTATTATCATCTTCAAACCCTTTATTTTGTAAAGAGCATTTTTTTTGGTTAATAAAAGTTTTTAAATATTGTTCTATCTTATCATCATCATATTTAACAATGAGCTATATAGCTTGGCATGTAAGCCTCTAGATTTTACTATACTTAGAATATTGGGATACTACATATCAGTTGTTCATTGTTACTAGACAGAAAACAGTAAAAGAATGAGGTATCAAAGCTATTATTTATCTTGTTAAGTATTACTAGCATTCAAATTTGTGAAAATCACATTTTTCTGGTTAATTATCTCCTTTTTACTATTACAATACCAGCATAATGCAATCATTCTAATATAGAATTTTTTTTTTTTTTTTTTTTGGTATTAAGATGACCTCTTTGGTCTGGGAAACTTTTTATTAGAGTATAGACGAAGTTTTGTATGTAATTACAACGATGGTACATCAAGCCACATGTGCACCTTTTG